TTATCGATAGATTTCTTTTATATTTATTCCATTATTCCTTTGCAAAAGAGATGGGTAATTTGAAAACAGTATTTCAATCTTTAGTAAAATTTCCAATAGGATTGGTTTAAATGTGTACTTCGAGCTTCAAACAATGTTATGGTATATTTCTTAACAAATGATCAGATATTATCTATAATTGCTATTTAAATTTTGTTAGGAGGAAATTCTTTATCAGAGCAAAGAAATCAGCTACAAGTTAATCTATTTTATATCGTCTTTTAGATGCACATATATTCTTTTGGGTTAAACATGTTAAAGATGAAGAATTTACAATATTATATAAACATTCTATGTACAAAAATTGGATTTTGTTTTGCTATACAACGATTTCCTGCAATGCACTTGTCTTTGTTATGTAAATAAAAATGTTTTATTACAATTTGTAGGGAATGAGAAATGCTGCCCAACTGAATGTCGTTCAAAAAACTGTACAAAACCTCTATTGGTAACTTTTTTTAATACCATTTTACTTAATATTAGTTTAACATGTTTTTAATTTCTTTATTTGGACCATTATTTAGGCCCATAAATGGCCTCATACTTATTCTAATTAAACTGGCAATTTGTAAGAAGCATTTATCTGATCCGTGGCACTGATATTTCATCTTACCATAGGACTGAGATCAGATGCCCATATATGATTTTTTTAAAACTGTATGGAAGTTTTTCTATAACATTAATGGAACATCAGAGAGGTCTATGCTTGAAGATTCTGCCTAAATACAAGATCTCATATTTCCAGGATACGTTTTGAATTCAAAATAAAAAGTCAACACTTAAAGTTCTTCTCCTTTATTCCTTAAAAAGTACTGAGGATTAAACAGACCGTGCCTATATTTTTGCGTGCATCTTTTAATGCAATTGTTGAACAATGGAAAAAGATTGCGAGATAAATTATTGTGATTTCAGCAAATGCTATATACTACTTTTACTAGTACAAATAATGCAATGAAATTTGAAAATGTGAGTTTTCGGTTTTACGTTTTTATTTTTTTTTTAAATTTATCCTGTTGCAACTTTGGCTGTAATAAAAACATCACAAACATGTCAGCTGACATTAAGACTAACATATTTTAACTCTCTTTTTCGACATTTGAGTTAATTTTTTTTTAATGTTTACTGACGTTTATTATAGTATTAGAAGCTTTTTTCTGGGGGTTATTGCTTTGAAAACTGGGGCCGATTAACTCACAACCAGAATAAGAGTCCAAAGGAGTCAGCAGTTTACACATAAATAATCTCTAGAAAAATAGACATATTATAATAGTGCTTACATGGGCAACGAAATTAGTTTCGAAAACATGATCTATCGAATTGTAAACCAAGGAACAAATATTAACAGACCAACCACATTTAAGTATTTGTAGATATGTAAATCATATCCGAATTCAAAACCAATTGTTCTCTGTAAGTCTGTCCACCTACAAAATCACACATTCATTTAAATTGAATATATGATTTGTTTAATACAATTTTGGAAATATTGGTAACTTACGGTTTATAGATATATATATAAATTATTGAAACTTTGTATGAAGTCAGGAAGATCACCGGCTACTTCCGTTTAAATGAAATAATAGTTTCCTCTACATTGATTTCAAACATATTAACTTTACATGAAAAAAGGGAGAAAATTTTCTGCTTCAGTTAAGGTACCTTCCGGTTTCATATAATAACTGACATTACACTGATTCAAAAAAATTGTTTCTAATGGAGAAAATTGGTTATTTTCCTGTTTACAGAATGTCATTACCGGTGTCGTATGATTGGTAACTTTATGCGTATTCCATGTTGATGCTGGTTTCTATGTATTTTTGCATGAAATTAGCGCAAAAATAGCCACTTCTGGTTTACTCCAGTTCACTTTCAATTAACCTTTTTTAAGGTCATTTGTCTATAAATCTAAAGCTAAAGATCCCATGGATTTATCAAATACCAGTTTTAAGCTTTAACCAATACAATAGCTTATATTGAATATTTAAGGGGAGAATACTATATAAAAAGTCACAAGAGTACTTTGAACAAAAAGTATTTGCGCTGTGTCAATTAAACAAATACTTTACGGTTCTGAGGAGTTGCGATAAAAATCAAAGTTCAAAATTGAGAACATGATCTTGACTTTTGAAATTGGAAATATTTGAATGAGGCCAGTGAGTATCTAAAATTACCAGGCATTTACCGAAGCTTCAAACAATATTTTTTTTATATGAAAAATTCTATTTGGAATGTCTATATAAAGAACTTGAAATTCACAGCAAAACTGGGAATCTCACATATTCCCCCTACACCATTCACGAAAGAGGAGATTTTAGAAAAACACAAATCCGTTCTCTTCGTTGGTATTAACATAAAACAAGGACGCTGAAAATATCCCGTCTTTTTACTGGATTCCTAAAATTTACCAAAATCCTTGTGAAGAATGATATATAGCCGAGTCATCAATATGTTCGACTTAAAATCTTTCTAAAAGTCTACCCACCATTCTGTCTACAGTAAAAGATGGCGTTAAGAAATATTTAACCAGTGGTGTTAATCAGATATGGATTATAAAGATTCTAAAGATCTATTCCAACGCTTCACACTACTATTCCCCATGCTCAATTGATCGAGTAAATTGTCTCATTCAACAGAGTAGTTGTACGTAAATGGAAAACGTAGATACAAATTCATTGTTTTGGGTCATGAAAAATATTACTTTGCTTAGAATCAAACTGATTTGCACAAAAAAATACGTCGAATATATTATCGGAATGCTGGACTTATCGATCAATAACATATTTGTTGAGTTTGTTGGATTGATATTTCAGCACACAGTCGGTATTCTGATATGTACTAATTGTGCACAACTATTGGCCAACTTTTGTACTCTTATACAGCAAAATACATATATTACCTTCTCAAGTTATACAAAAAGAAAACGCATTTTGCAGATTTCTTTAGTTTTACTTTTAGATATATATTGATGTCACTCAATAACCACATTTCATAGAGTGCTATCATTTCATAATATCCCAGTGAACTTGATATTAAGGATACTACCGAAACTTGGATGTTTGCTTCTATATCACACTTTACGGACTTCATTAACAGGGATGTGCTCCTTACATGAAAATTGTTCCAACACAGTTATGAGGAGGAAGGACTTCATAAGTTTTTCAGTCACCATCACGAAATGGTTGACAAATTTTCGGTGTCTCTCCTCACTAGTGGCATGTTTATTGATGTTTTAGAACATTATATATAGTTATCTGATCTGTAATTTTGACAATTGTGATATTTTGACTGAGCGTGGATTCGAATGGCGGGTGATGCATTCACAGTAGGTAACGCCTACTCAGTCGACCCATCCGGTCTTGCTTCGTTTGCAGTTCATGCGATTTTTTTAGTTTTTGTTTGTTGTCTTTTCTAAATCCATTTACGAAATCTGAACATCGGTAAACAATTGTCGACTAAATGTAACTGAATTTGGACGTTACCACTTCTTATGCCATTGCTGTTAAAAGATCTAAGAACTTCTGCGAGAGTAAATATATTTTGTTCAATGATTTAGGTCTTTTCACGACATTTCACCAAAAGAAATTATAATAAATAGATATCATCATATTATAATTAACATTACAATATTTTTTTACTAGAAACAATATATAAATTTGAGATCCTGATAACCCTTGCAACTAATTTCATATAACAATATCTGTGGTATCTGTAAACCTGTTAAAGTGAATTATGGATTAGTGCAAAGTTACACCCATCAAAGTAAGCTTTCTTGTATAAATCTGTTTATATACATTCAACAACGCCCTTCTGAAGTTTGCCTGCTGAACCAGAAACATTCATATAAAGGATACACAATTTAAAGTGTTTGGAATATTTCTAAAATATGTGTTTAAACACCGTCATGTTTCGTTAAACAATGAAACGAGCTAGAATAGATTTCATATTGTCTTGAATAAACATAGCTTAAACTACAACATTAGGTTTTTTTAATTTTAGTTTCTTGTGTATAATTTGGAGTTTAGTATGACGTCTATTATCACTGAACTAGTATACATATTTGTTTAGGGGCCAGCTGAAGGACGCCTCCGTGTGCGGGAGTTTCTCGCTGCATTGAAGACCCATTGGTGGCCTTCGGCTGTTGTCTGCTCTATGGTCGGGTTGTTGTCTCTTTGACACATTCCCCATTTCCATTCTCAATTTCATTAGGTACTTCATCAAAAAGGTTATCAACATGCGTTTTATATATGTACATGTTTCGACAGCAGTAAATTATTGATGATCAGAAGAAAAGTATTTTTTTAATTTATATTATTTTTTCAAATACATTCATAAATTACACAAGCGCAAGCAAAAGGTAAAATAAAAAAACTCCTAGGAAAATTCAAAACAGAAAGTCCATTATCAAATGGCAAAATTAAAAGTTCAAACACATCAAACGATTGGAAAACATATTCCTGACTTGGTACAGGCATTTCCTTATGTAGAAAATTGTGAATGAAATCTGGTTTTATAGCTAGCTAAACCTCTCAGTTGTATGGCAGTCGCATAAAATTCCATTATATTGACAACAATGTGTGAACAAAACAAACAGACATAATAGGTAAAAATGTCAAAAATAGGGGTACAGCAGTCCACATTGTGTTATAATCTTGATCACTACAAAAACAAACAAATTTGTCAACAAAGAAAAAACAAAATGGCACATAGACAAAGCACATAAGAAAATTGAAAGACAAGAATACAAAAAATGACAATAGCAAAATAACACAATAGCGGGAGACATCTAAGAACACCAAAACAACACAACCAAACAAAACACAACAAAGATGAAATATACTGCTCTGTAATCACAAATCATTAAACCCTTCCGTAGATAATTATAAATGAGGTTTTTTTTCCAAAAGTTTTGATTTGTTATTCCAACAAAAATAATGATCTGTTTACGATTCTTATAGAAAAAACTACCGGGATGTCCAGTTGACAACCGTATTTGCAAGAGATATCAACAGCTCTGTAACTCTGAAAAGGACTGTAAGAATGGTAAATATATATATTTCTTCTTCTTTTTTGACAAAATATATAAATTCATATATTAAAATATATAATCATTTACAGGCAACTGTGAGTTTCTACAATCTAAAGTAGTAACGGTTTTTTTGATATCATAATACCTTTAATAATTAACGATTGTCATTATGATCTGCTATTTATACCAGCAAACATACTCTAAATGTACATGCTATCTCCATTACGTTTTTATGAGTATAAGTATTTTCTATTAACTTTTGACAGTATATAGACGAAAAGACATTGACGTGACCATGGAATGACACGTGATATTCATGTAACGAAAAATTAATTGTTGCTTTCTTAGATAATAACACTAATAGAAAATATTTGAAGCGCAAAAAAAGAATGTTAGTTCATATGTAATACTGATTATATTGTTTAGACGGCACATGTTGGATTTCTATCTGATCAAGTATGGAAAGTTTTTTAAAGAATTTTATTTGGATCATATCCTTACAATATATGTAAATTGTGTATCCTGATTTTGTCTACAGGTTACATTTGCTGTTTTAATCCTTCCTGTGGCACTTCATGCAAAGCAGAAATAAAGAAGGTTTGTTGGCTTATTGATTTCATATACATAGATTAAATGATAGAGAGATTGTGAAATAACTATTATTCTTACATTAACATGGATGTCTGTTTAACTTTATTTTGGGGTTTATTTATTTATTATTTTGTTAAATAGCATACCCATTTGGCATATTTCTGCCACCCAATGAATATTCAATTATTAATCCTAAATCCAAAATTTGGAAACACAACTTTAAGACGTTAATTGATTTAGTCGAGGATTATGCCAGGCAATAAACTAAACGTGAAATAGAAGACGTGGATACTTTTTCCGAATGGGTTAAAGATGTGACGTCATTGATACAAATAAGAATTAATTATTCTATGGATCTATAAACACTCAGCTACATCCATCTGTAATAACCCAAATATCGCTTAACAACTGCCCTAGCGTCATGCCAAATATGTTGTCAACTCTGCAGACACACCATCCAACAACATAAGGTGTGTTCGTTGATCACATTGCATAAATTGCTTGATAAAGGCATTATGAATTGATATTTCACCTTGAAACTCAACATATACTCTACCGACTCTTCCACAGAGGAAATCCTGAACAATCAAATGTCTATTGAATGTTCAATCAGAGATGGGTGGAAACTTGGTCTTCGTATACCCCAAGGATTCTTAATCTCTTAATTTCTTCTAGAATTATCAACATCTATTTTATAAAAAAAATCCAAGATTGGCTGCATAATTTACTGTGAAACAACTTACTCTATGGGCGATATTGAAAAATAAAAAAAAAATAAATACAAAAAATTAAGTCTTTCCTCTTGAAATGATATAAAAACATTTGACTAATTCTCTGCACATTTCATACAATTCCTCAATCTCAACTTAAAACTAGATTGAAAGAATTTTTCCAAAATTTAGTCCAACCATCAACAAGACTGATATTATCAAGATGCTTGATTTCAGAAAGAGTTCAATATGGCAATCCACGGAGTAAACTGCAAGATGTTATGTTATTCATTTATAACGGTGGGGTGTCATATGGAACTCTTGTTTTGGTTTCTTTATTGCCAACATATTTGCTCCGTTTGGATGACATGTTTGTCAAAAAACAATCAGCATTTCTGTGTGAACCAACTGTGCTCCACTTCTTGCCCACTTATTCCTTTGTTCTAATGAGACAGACCTAACACATGTGTTTCTCATGTATAATGTAAAAAATCTAGTATTATCCTGAAACTTCACGTTCCGGTATATAAATGATGTCTTCTTACTGAATAATTCAAGGTTTGGTAACTATGATAAACGTGTCTTGGACTTCAAATTTGAAAGAAAGGATACTACAGAAACAGTTAATTCTGCTTCATATCTTGACCCCTATCTAGAATTGTCAATAAAAGTCGGTTGAGAACAAAACTTTACGACAAAAGAGATTATTTCAGTTTTTCAATCGTGAACTGGTCATTTTTATGAAGCAAAATTACAGCAGCTCCTGCATATGGAGTATATTTCTTCCAGTTGACGCTATAGTTAAAGGTTTATCTGATGATTTCCTTGATGCAAGGTTGCTGCTAACAAGAAAATATATTAAACAAGGGTTTCAAGAAGTAATTTTGAGTTTGATCCTCCAAGAGTTTGATGGACACCATCATGAGTTGGCTGACCTGAGTGGAATATCTGTATCATAGATAACAACGGATATGTTACGATTGTCGTAACCACAATCCCGACAACTTTTCCTCGATTCTGATGTCACCGAATGAGACTTATCATCAAATTTGTACTTACCATAACGAACACGACGGGTGTCAGAGTGGAAGCGGAACATATTCAAATAGTGATATAAACCGACAGTTTGCTTATGTTGAACCGTTTGACGTAGGTTCTTGTTTTACTGAATTGCAATCAATATCGCGACCAGGGATTAGCTTCATATCGATAAAATGACCTTCTACACAAATAATTATTATGTTATGTCATAGAAAAGATTAGAAATTTGTAATACATTTTACAAATCATCAAAATAGAAACGTCCAAATGTAAAAAGTATTTTTTTCATTTCTTGTTTTACTGTATTCTGTCAACTATATACGTCAATGCAACGGAAATCCTTATTAATACCACTTCCAAGTGAAAAAATTCTAGAATATTATTTCCAATAAAGAAATGTTACAGTATTTGAAACGGACGGAATGAAGAGTATACAAAATAATAATTATAGCATTGTTCACAATAAAGTTTCCATAGTGACTCCAGTTACGGGGAACACACAGTCATTGGCACATCAATAAATACGTCTTTTTAGTATAAGGCTTACTATTTTAAAATAGGGTAAACATCCGAAAACTTAGATAACCCGACTGCTTTTTATCATATTTCGATACATTCTGGTAACCCTTCAAAAAAGTATACTGTGTGAAAATTTTAAGAAGATCAGACAAAACCAATTCAATCAAATTGAAATGAGATAATCTATGATAGCAGCAAAGCTTTATTTTTTAAAAGTTTTTTTATCTTTTAATTCTTTTTATAACGGAAAATATACACTCAAATATATATAAAATGAACATCACGCAAGCCTTCAGTATATACAGGCTGTAAAATAATTTTGTTGTAAATATATCAACCATGCTATATACTTTGCATAAAGTTTTATTATTTTCAACAGATCGTGTCTTTATCAGGTAAGGGTGACAGTTATTAACAGTTTTATAACATTAATATCAAGTTATTCCTAGAGATAAAAATATTACACAGAAATTTTGCAACATTTTTCGTCAAAACAAGCATATTAATCTAATACAAAGGATTGTTTCAAAGTAGATTCTAAAAATGTAATTTTGTAACTATGGAGCTACAAAACTAACTTCCCTTGTGTTAAAATGTAAATCTGATAAGAGAAAAAACAGAGATTTATATCAATGGTGATATACATAAGTTATTCCAAATAATTATGGACAAACTGAGAATAAGGATTACAAGTCATTAAGACAGCATCACAACGACACAAAAAGACAACCAAAGGTCTCTATTTGATCATCAACAATAGAGAAATATATATATAAAGTATTTCAAGCTCTAAATCGCTCCGAATATAGAAAAGTTGGGTACGAACATAGAATATCAAAGAAATATAATTGACAACAAAATGAAATAATCTTCTATTATAAGTTGTCTAAATATAACCTTAATTTTGCTCTAGAACTAAGTAGACAAATAAAGTAAATGTTAATGAACTTTGTTAAAGCTGCACGTGCTAAAATAATCTTACTTCGCGGATGTGTACACATAAGCCGTATACATATTGTAAGTCTCTTATCAAGTTGCAGAAAGATGGAATCTTAGGAAAGAACTATAATTTTGTTTTCTTATCAACTTCAAAGTTTTGTCTCTATCAAATAATGGTTTTCGTTTAATAGTTGTTTTACCTAGAGCATCACTAACGATACATTAATTGTTTGCTTTATTTTAAGCTTGTACCACGGGAACTCCATTGCTGGGAATAAATTGCGGTAGATCACCAAACAGAAAAAAATGTCCAAAAGGATACAGGTGTAAAACTAATCGATTAGATCGTTTTGATTTTTGCTGTCCAGGTATGTATGCTTTTCATGGTTAAACCTGTCATCAACATTTAAATACCGTTCCAAATTATTCATGGTTGAAATTTAAGATCATAACATTTTTTGGAAATCTTAGTTTAATGACAGTATAATGCTATTGCCTGGCAATTCTTCAGTAACTACACACGGTATAGCCATTGCTGTAACGTGGGGATGTAGCCAATATGACCTTCAATCTGTTTTAAATCTTTGATTTGTTCCGGCTTGCAAAAATTCGTTTTTAAAAATGTCTTTCTTTTTTTCAGTTTGAGAAGATGTCTTCCATACTACACGTTTGACTTGTGCTACCCAAAGTGAAAATACCAGGACATTTGTTTTCAAAAATTGTGCTACCTGTAATTTGAAAGAAATTTTTGAGAACTTTATTATGCAATAAAACTATATTTAGAATTTTGCAGTGATTTTTATAATGACTGGCGAACTTCTGCTCAACAGTGTGAATGCAATTTTTTATGCACACAAACCTACTATTTTAATCCAACTGAATTATATTGAAGGGGCATTAGTTGTTAAATTCATATTCAACGGTTGTACCCAAATTGTCATATTTGATTTATAACAAATAATACATCGGCGATGTTTTCAGTTCATTTTGACGAAATTGAACCAAACTGGCTGCTAAATGGTTAATTATCAATTATATATTCTGCTTTTATAAATATTTGAAACAAACCGAAAAACATGTTTTAATTTTAGTTTAATTCGTAGCTAATGCCCCTTTAAGCAAAGTTTTAATTGGTTGCCTCGCTGCATCCTTCTTGACTCTTTGAAATGTACATGTTTTACCCTATTACTTGACGTGCAATATTAACAGGGATATAGCCTTCGAGTGTAGAAATTATATGACGAATGTCTGTAAAATAGCTTTTTAAAATATCTACTAATGCATTTTGATTTAGTCGTTTGAATTATTTTACATTCTGTCATGTCGAGGTCTTCCATAGCTTACTTTACAGTATGGGTTTTACTCATTACCGAAGGTCGTACGTTGACCTATAGTTGCATGCTTACATTCAGGTTATTTAGTTCTTGAACTGGAAGTTGTATAATTGGATTTATTACTACACATACTTTTTTCATATTGAATGAATATTTTTTGCGTAAAAAATATTAAAAGATTGTAAAATAAAAGTTTTTTTGAGGTTTTATAGTTTTTTGCAGGATATTACTTGTCTATCTAGACCATATGTCGTAAAAGTAAAAAAAATATGCTTGGTTATTTGCTCGTCAGCATTCAAAACTTTTACTATTTGGTTAATTCAAATTGCATATAGGGGGAATCCAAATAGCATTGTTACGAAAACAATTGCAATTGGAAATTGTATCAACTATATAACTGTGATTTGGTATTTGCAAAGCTTTATAAAGGTCTAATATATTACACTGATTCTGTATCACAAGTAGTAGATATAAAAAACATTTGGAAGATACCAAGGGGATATTCAAAACTCATCGAAGATAAATGTTAGGCGACAAATATATAAACAACATACAAATAAGGAGATTTGGTATGATTGCCATTGAGACAACTACCAACCAGAGATCAAATGAAGTGGATGTAAGCAATCATAGGCCACAGTACGACCTAAAACAATAATGAAAAATCCATACCGTATAGTCGGCTACAAAAGGCCCCGACATAAAAATTGGAACCAATTCAAACGTGAAAACTAACTGCCTAATTTATATAAAAAAAAAAGTAAATTACAGACTTGAGCCAACGACAACCACTGGTTCCTGACTTGGGACATGCACACAAGGAATATGGTGGAATTCAACACTCAACCTTCTCCCTTACCTGGCACAGAGGTGTAACAGCACATATAAGATCAAACTGTAAAGAATTGATTAACTCAAAAGATCGGTACGAGGCACAAACATATTGGACACAAAGCATCGAAATAAGAGTACTCGTAGTTACTAAAAGCTAGTTCAAAGATTATTACAACTAAAAGATAAATCATGTTCTCAGAAACTAAAGTATCAATCAGTACACATCCAACAAATTTTAATGTAAAGACATCATATACAGACTGAAAATCACATAATGCCAAAACATAAGTAGTAAACAGAAACAGTATCGACCGGATGTAGAATCAAGCGTAATATATCAAATATACAAGCATATATGAGATGCCTATTCACTGGTAGTAGATAGATTTCAATAATTGATTTTAATTCTAAACTCTACTGGTGTAGCAATTGGATAATGTAAATTACAACTAATAGTAGTAAATTTACATTTACTTTTTATATTGATATTGTTTTTATACTGTGGTGCTTTTGAAAGTACGAAGTAGCTTTTGTTTCCATTTAATTGAAAATATTCTTTAAAAAAAGTTCACCTTGAAGTGTTCTGAATTACAAAAAAAAAACTTGTTGTTACGTCTATGTCTACACAACAACAAAAAAATCAATTCTAAGAATATCATAGATGCAGCAGTATATTGACCTGTCTACATTGATTTTAATTGGTTTATGATAAACAAGCAAAGGAATATACAAACATGGTACATAGTATAGACATATCTTTCTGATTACGTTCTCCTCACAATTGTTTTCACTAAATCAATACATAATTACCGTAAAAGTGATTTTTATTTGGTGTTCATGTAGTAATATAGACACTCGTCTGAAGCAACATGTTTATTTACATACAACTAGTACTAGATAGATCATCAAAGTATTTGTGCAACATATTACTGGTATGTTACTTGTCATCACCATAAGAGTACATAAGGTGGAACATGAACAGCTTACCCATCCATGACACATGAGTTTTCCCCGTTTATCTTTTTCGCGTAGTATTGCTTCTTAACCTTTATTGTCTGAATAATATTGTGTAAACAGTTATTGTTCCTGTTTCTTTTTTTTTGTAATTGTGGTGATGTTCTCCTTTTTCTTTAGACCTATATTGTTTTAAAATTTTCTATGTGGTGTAGTTTCCTCATTTTTGATAATCATTCGTATAATGCTGGCTATTTTTTGTGTTCCCTTTTTCGTAATATGTATGCCAATGATCAATGATTGTCTCATTTACCTATTATGTTTTTTACCTATATTGTCAATATAACGGAACTATAGACAACTGTCATAACAGTGGGAGGATAAGCTAGCTATAAAACCAAGTTTAAACTACCATTTCTTTCGGAAGATACCAATTCAGGAATCTGACAGTTGTTTTTCACTCGTTCATTTGGTTGATAACGTTTGATTTTGTTAGTTTTGGTGGATTTCCCCTTTTTGAATTTACCTTGTAGTTCGGTATTGTTGGTATACTTTTTTATGCTATCCTTCTCCTGTAGCTTCAAAGTTTCTTTTTTATATGTTTAGATGCCTAATCACAATGAAAGACACAGCTTGAAGCTTATATATCTTAATGTGCTTGGAAACTGAAATATTTCTGACATAATCAGGTTAACTTCAGATTTGGACATACGAAGTAAACCTTACACTAATCAGCCAATACGAAACACAGTTGAAAAAAGTACAACAAACGTTATTCTGTCATTTTAAAAAGATATGTTTTTTTTGTATAAAAATAAACTAGAAAGTTCAATTTTTAAATGGAAAATGTCGAAGTCCTTTTATAACATTCTAGCAATCTAAAATGACGAAATGTCAAAAGCCGTAGCCTTTTTCAGTGAGCAGATTATCAATATTTATTGCAATATCAAAAATGAGAATTATCCTCCAATTCAATTAGTTTACATAAATTTAAAAATCACAAAAATCGGAAAAAAATTAAGAGGGGTTTTATGTCATTTTGCAATTTTAAGAAATGTATGAAATATTATGAATTGTTTGTTTACCAAACAAGTTTAAAATTTGGTATAGGTTTAACAATACGATTTATGCCGATTTGATTTTAGTTGAACAGTCCAATATCATTTTACTTTTCTAGTCAAACGTAATATATGTAAAACATACCATTTAAACCAACTCATGTGGACTATGTTGTTAAAGCTAAAATGTAAAGTAAATCGGAAAAATCTCGAGGGTTTAATATGACATGCTTGTTCACAATCATATATTCGCAACAATGAATCAACAGCCGGCTTTTGTTAATAATTTAGAATACTGATTTAAAACTTTTTGTCATTGCTTTATTAAAAAAACGAGAATTGAAGCTATTGTATCCATGCTTTTGTTGCATCTTATCCATGTTTATTGCAAAAGAAACATATGCATTATATTCAACTGTCAAATAATGACGTGTTTTTACGTAGGCAGTTATTAAATCTATAGACTTTACTGTGACTATATGTTGAAAAATTAAACCAGTGCGGTTATCGCTATTGAGAAGACTCTAGTAATTTCTGTCGAGATTGTTTGCTATGTGGTCGATTTGGATAGTTTTGCTTAGTTTTTGTCATTATGGATATGTAAGTGTTAGCTTATATGTATATACATAGATATGAAAAAAGTATAACAAAAATACTGACCCCAAGACAAATTCAAAAAGGGGAAGTCCATAAAAACTGACAAATTCAAAGATATAGTGATAATCTCAGAATCTTCAACGGTTCTATTTTCTATATCTCTACTGGCACTGCAACATAAGGAGCCATAAATCTTCCCGAGTTGAAACTGTCTTTACAGAAAAATTATTGTTTTGGTTAGTTGTTTCATCAATTGAAATGTTTAAAGAAAAATAAATCATAAACTTTTTTTTCTGCGTGTTACAGATGTACATAATTAATTATTGTCTTAAATGAGTTTGGAATTCAAAGTTGCATATCACCTTATCAACATTACACCATATTTGCATCAGGACATATTCATGAATATTTTACTTATTAGCTTATCTTTTATTTTCATATTATATAATTATAATTATAATTAAAAGAGAGGCGAAAGACACCAAAAAGATTTTCAAACTCATAAGTCGAAAACAAACTGACAATGCTATGGCAAAAGACTAAAATCCACTAAAATACAAATAACAAT